GCGAAAAATAAGCATATATTTGCCCCGTGACTCAGATCCACTCTAAAACTTAACTGGCTCTGCCTTGGCCAATGCTTAACCCTTCCGCCATGTTTCAAGAAAATCAGGCTAGTAGTTCTTCTGTAATCCTGCTGACTAACAGACAAACTGAACCAAAAACATAATCTCCTTGGTGGAGATAGTAAGTGAATTTTGACCACTTGTGAGCAGCAGAAAGAAGTTGGAAGCACAATACCGACAGATAATCCCTTAGAAATTTGAACCTTTTAGCAAACAGTTGCCCATTTAGACATCTAGCAGACACGTAGCAACATTAGCATTCATTTGGAAATATGTTCATGTCCACACGATGAATATTAGTCCAACATTACTTTCCTTTTATCTCGTTTTTGGTCACCTCCAGCTCCTAAGAAAACGTCTGGCTCTTTAGCTGCGAAATTCTCCGCTAAGGTAACCAGCTAGTCGCTAACTGTGTCTGTTGTTGTTTGGTGCTGGGCAGGTCCGGTACAGACGTTTCTTCTTTTGCTGATAACCACTGCCTGCTACCAAAACAATGTTAACTGACATTCAGTTTTTTGCCAAGTGCTTGTGGCCACGACCTTTTAGCACCCAAAACAAAAGGTCATGCTTCTCCAAATAGTCAGCAAAGGTGTGTTTCAAATTAGTAAGTCAGGTATAAGTGAAATTTCAGCGTCTGTTTTTCCTGGCAGTGCAGTGCTGCTTCCAGGTGAGACTGAGCGAAAGAAGACAATTCAGTGGTTAAATAAAGCACACAATGAACCGAGGCTGAACTTTATGAGTACCAGTCTGAGAGAAAAAGAGCATGAGGCCCAGACAAGTTGACCCGCTCAACCTTTTAAATGTAAATAGTCCAGAATAATAATAATAATCTGCTCATGAAGGAGGATCAGCAGGGAACTGGATGGTGATATAACATCTGAACTTTCAGGAGCAGGGCACAGAGTGTTCGGGCTGCCAAAGTTTCCAAGAGCAAGACATTGAATTCTGTCACCTCCAGGGTTCGATAGAGTAGTATCACATTATTATGGACTGTCTTTCCATCCTGTGTGAATAGAGGCCAAAGGCCAGACATCAGCAGGGTTAGGGTTCGATCAGGGGCGTCAAACATAAGGACTGGGGGACAGACCGGTCCACCAAAGGGTCCCAACTAGATGACTTTGCACTCTTAGTATTGCACTTGTGAAGGCTGAGAGGTGCCGGATTTCAGGAGCAATATAACAGTGAGTAGCTTTCTTCATGTCAAATAGTGCCTCAGAGGCTTTCCCACCCTGACCACAATACAGTTCTCTGAAATAGCAATGAAAACTTATTGTGGTCATATTTATCGATATTGAAAATTGAGCAAAATGTTGTCAATCAGCAGCTTCAGTACAAAAGAATCTGTATCAGACTTCTACCTTAAAAGTCTGGATGGAACCCTATTACTAAGACACTGCCAAAACTTCTGATTCGTAAATGGTTCGTGAGGCAGGGTGCTTCTTCATGAGCTTCCACTGTAGTTTGGTGTGGTGATGTCGGCATTACCTGCACACGTAATGACAGTAAGTAGCAGACTGAACGTGAAACCTAAAACATATTGTTGAAATTGCATTTATTCTTCTGAAGACATCTCCAGCTATTTGTCATGTTCTTAAACCCTTTGAAACCGGAGCAAATTGGCTTGGTTTGAAACATGGGAGGAAGGCAATGAGCAATGAAAGAAGATATGACCCAAAAATTTGCAAGAAAGTAGTAAAAACAGAACATTTAAAACAAGAAAATTAGTTAAAAAAAAATAAAGTTAATAACAAATAAACAAGGAAATTACCTAAAAAAAAAAAGTGTGTAAAAATTACAATAATTCTGTACCATAATTTTAAATATATTTTAATAGTATTTTTTCCCTAGTTTTTAAAAAAATAATTTTCTATTTCTATTAATTTTTTGCTATTAAAAACAAGAAAATGATTTTTTTTAAAGAAACTTAAAAACAAACAAGGAAATGAACTAAAAAATTGATTAAAAATTCGAATTTTCTGTACCATAATTTTAAATATTTAATAGTAATAATTATAAGTATCATTTTTCCCTTTTTTTGATAATTTTCTATATCTATATTTTTTTTTTTTGCTATTTATGGGACATTTCTTAGCGAGTTGCTCGTTACCTTTTTTTCCCAATGTTTTTGAAAGAAATCACGCTATTTTGTTCAGGCTTCAAAGGTTTAAATACTTGCAAAAGGTGTCTGAAAGCAGCACAAGAAAAGTGACATTGATTCAAAGGTTTAAACTGAGAGAAAAGGAAAAATCAAAAAAGATCAAATCAGACTGTGTGGCCCATGAACTAAAGTATTCTTTATCTAGTATCAAATCTGCTCCGATCAGTTTAGAACCCTTATTTCATATGCTCAGACATGGTCAAACATTTCCATACACTTGTAAACAACATGTATACGATGGCAGTCTTGAATTTCCAATATTTTCTACAACTCTTATTTTCCTGTGATGGAATGATTGGAGGACATACAACTTTGTTACAAAAAAACATTCAGGAATTTTTAAACTTTCGTAAGTTTATAATGGATCGCCTGAAAATGTGACCAAATCTGCTGTGTCAGAAATCTAAATACAGCGACCTGAATGATCAGTTTTGGTAATGCACAAACTTGTGTCATGCAAATTGCTTTGTGGCACAGGCTCTTAACTTCTTCTGGGTGATAGTGATTGAGTACAGCTGGGCGACCTTTCTGAGCTCATTTAAATAGGGCTTGCTAAACACACTCATTACTTTCAGCTACAAACACTAAAAATCTGAGAACACAGCTTGGATCTGACAAACAGAATCATCGACCAGAACGAGTCAGGAAACTCACATAGAGCCAAAGCAGCTACATGTCCTCTGATCAACTGTGGACACAACTGTTTTTAAGTATAAAGCGCATGGCAGAGTTGTGTCATCGCCATGATCAGAAGGAAAACAAGAAATTACCTGCAGCTGAGAGAGAGTTGGTCAGGGTGGTCAAGAGTCAACCAGGAACCACCCAAAAGCAGGACTGGGATGAATTAGAGGCTGCTACAAGACAGGTGTCACTGTCCACAGTCTGTTTTACATCGCCATGGGCAGGAAGGAAGCTCTTGCTCCAGAAGCAACACCTTAAAGGGAGCCTTCAACCATTTTTAAAATTCATCATTCCTTTGGTCTATGATCGTCCAAAATTAGTAGTAAAATGTAACCCTCCCAAATCCAAAAACTAGAGTGCTTAAAGTCATTTTCTGTTTCAGACCTGAGAACACGACAATAGAATAAGCCACAAAATCTCCCATTCATTGTCTATGGAGCAGCTCCAGACTTCATACCCTATGACATTACAAGTTTGACACTTACTTCCCTGGTTTCTGGTTTTGAGAGCGAGTAGCTCATGTTCACAATAATTGATCAAACTTTCCAAGGTCATGGAAATACCATCCTGGAATTCTTAATTTAGGTGGTGTTGCCCTTTAAGGCTCGACTGAAGTGCTTTTATCTTCTATTGTTTTACTTGGCTACATTGTAAATGAGGTTTCTGTCTCGATGTTTTTCCAAGTTAAAATAAAAGGTTGAATGAGTGTTGAATGAACATACATGTTCTTTACGAGTGTATGTAATCTTCTGACCACACCTTCAAGATTATATAGGAAAAACTCTAATTATCAGGGATGGGAATCGAAAACTGGTTCCAGACTGTCCGATCCATCGAAATCATGAGCTTCCAGGATGATTGTTTTATTGATGTCCTGTTTTTCTGATGTCATACTAATGCATTTAAGCTGCTGGAAACTTGCACAAGAAGAAGTCATGGCAGAGAGGAAGAAACGGTCCTACGAGTGGCTTAATTCCAAGAAGGATAAAGACATCAATGCTGCTTGTAATCGATGTTGAAACATCTTTCTGGACGACATGGACTTAAATTCCAGGAACTCCGTGGATTTGACACATGAGAGCTCCCTAAGAGAATAGCACGTCTGTTACGGAGGGTAAATATCCTGCCTACGCCCAAATTTTCCGACTGCATTTTTTACAGTTAAAAATGGTTTAAAGGCATAAAAAGATACCATATATATGTAGTACATCTCTCCCACCTACATACACACTTTGAAATTTCAAAAACAGTCTGTTTGTCATTTTTCTGTTATTTAAAGTGTCAAATCATATCATGTGGTGCGACCGTCCGGCCATAACTTTGGTTACGAAAACGTCTTCAAAATGACCCTAAATCTGTTCAAAATGATTTTGTTTAAGTATTTGGCCTGATTTCCAAAGTGTTTTGTAGCCCTGTAAAACAAGAGCAGGCATTTGTTTTTATATTTCAGTCATAACACACAAGCAAACTTTGTCCGATAATGTCCATTGTATGAAATATCAAGTGGTGCGACCATCAAGAAACGGCCACCTTGGGGCTTTTATGTTGAAACCCATTCAAAGACAGGAAGTTGCAGCATCGAGCTATTTCCCAAGAACCCATAGAGACAACAAGCAGGTTTGTGACTCTCTCTCAAATTGCGTTACACCCGGGCGTGGGGGAGTTTGAACCCCAGGGTGTGGGAGCCCTTCTGTGTGGAGTTTGCTGATCCTCCCTGTGTCAGCGTGGGTTTTCTCCGGGTACTCCAGCTTCCTCCCACAGTCCAAAGACATGCAGGTCAATTGGTGACTCTAAATTGTCCGTAGGTGTGAATGTGAGTGTGAATGGTTGTTTGTCTCTATGTGTCAGCCCTGTGATAGTCTGGTGACCTCTCCAGGGTGTACCCTGCCTCTCACCCAATGTCAATTAATAATGGCTTTGGTGTCAATAACACAATCTCGATTCCCATCCCTATTAGTCATCTAATACCGATAAAAATAAACATGAGGATAAAAGATTCAGTGTGATTTTTTAGAATCGACTGAGTATTTTATAAACTGTTTTCCAAACTGGAAAAAATTCCAGGTTGAGGTTTGATATCTTACAAATAAACACAGGCACGTTTAAGTCAGTGAAATAATTTAGTGGGACAAACAATTTTACATAAATTAATTCATGTGTCATGATTCTCTCTCTTTGCATTCTTTAGCCCTTCCACAGCAGCCCAGAAACACCTCCACCCTTCCATAAGGCATGACGTGGTTTTTGCAGCATTGTCATTATGCATGTATGATTTTCTTTTTTTAGATGAGAATTATAACAGCCACGTTGATAATCGAAGAGTCTCTATGGCAAGACAACACTGCATAGTTCCCAGGCTGGTGTCTCACGCCGTATTACAAATCACAAGAGTCTATATGACAAAAAAAAAAAAAAAAGGACGACATTTCTGGAGAGTTCTCAGGCTGTCAAGAAGTCTTTATGGAGTGTAAGTGTGTGTGTTAGATCCTCTTCTCACACTCCTGTATGCTTCACCCCTGAGGCTACAGGAAAGCTCACAGGAGAGAAGAGGAGGAGGAGGAGGAGGAGGGAGAGGGGAGGTGGCTGGGCATCCATCAGCCCAGCTCAGAGTGCTCTGTCTGGGCTCGCTGTGACAGCCGGAGGGCAGGTACGGAGCTCCCCACACCTCTCTTTATCCCTCCTGATGTCTTTATTTCTCCTCCACTTCTCTTGTCAGTATCTATGACAGAGGATTATCTGTTCCCACCTCCTTTTAAAAGTCTTTCTCGTGGGTGCAGCTGAGAAGCAAGATGGCATTTCTGCTCCTTGGAGCTACAGATTTCTCACTTCTGTTTTTTTTGTTTTTTTGTAAAGAGAGAAAGAGCAGGAGAGAAAGGAAAAAGCCAAAAAGGAGCAGATGTGAACTATTCCATTGACTTATTTCTCATGTGTATCTGTACTACATCCTTCTGGGTTGAACATGAAATTGGGGCCAGCAGTGTCAGTGAGGATGAGTCATTGTTTCTGAGTTTTTTCCAGTGGTGCACTCTTTCGAAAAGCCAAAAACGCCTCCATCTTACAGGAAAAAAAAAAAAAAAGATCCATTGTTCTGTAGTCGCCTGTGCAAATGGAGCTCGACTTACTTGGCTTTCGCTGAACAGCCTTTTTCTTTTTTAATGTTGAAGAGGTACAAGGTGCGTTTCATTCGAGTGTGCAAGCTGGTGTCTTCTTCTTCTCCCGCTGGTCTACAGAGGAGAGATGGCGAGAAGGAAGGACGGCGGAGCTCAGTTGAAGAGGATGGAGTCGGGGTCTCTGTTGGCGATGTGTGCCATGTGTTTCAGTATGTCTTTTTTAGTGATTATTCCCAGCAGCCTCCTGAAGACAAACAGAGAGAAACGGAGAGAGAAAGGAGAACAAAAGTCATGGAAAAGCTGATTACTTCATATCATACTTTGTTTGCCTTGTCACGGAAAGTCAAAAAATCGACAGAAAGCAGAGGCACACACATATCGAGGGGCGGTCTGGCCTCCAGTCTTGACATGGTGGCTTAGCTCAGTTTTATTACCGTCCCAGAGGGAAACTGGCACGCAGCGGGAGATCAGTGTAACACGCAAACACAAAGTAAACAGAGCGAAGGAGAGGAAACAACGAGGCTCTGATCTCATTAAAGCCAATTACAGCTGACACATCAGTTTTAAACACGTTCAGGTTCACACTCAGGACACCTACACCAACAGGTTACGTTCAAATAAAGTCAAATCTAGAGTTCACTCTCCTCCAAAACAACGGCCGGGCTGGCAGCTTGTGGTTCAACATGGTCTGACGCAGACAGAAATAAGAGGCATGATGAATAACGAGATATTCAGAAAATAAATGTGGCGACAGAAGAAAGCGCTCAGATTTCGACACACAAGATGTGAGCTGAAGGAGCAGCTCAGCAGTGCTGCTTTAAAGACAGACTACGTTACTTTTGAAGGATGACGCAAAACGTTCTTCAAGTTCATAGCAATAAACAACACATTCAGGGGTTTTATTGCTACAGCCTGTCTTGGTCTTGTGTGATCAGTACTCTCTAAAAAAATAGCGTTGGCGTCAGTAAGTAACGCTCAAAATAAAGTCGTTTTTCAGCATTAAAAAATGACATATGTTACGTTAATGTGTTTTAGTTAGTTGACAATTTATTTAAAGAAATTGGTCAAACTCAGTTTTAATTGAGATGGAATTAAAATAAATAAGTTAGAACATCTTAAATAAAATAGTTTGACCACTAAATATCAACACAACTTTAGGATGAATATTAAGTTAATTCAACTTAAGATTTTCGAGGTCAAATCATGTTGGTTGCACTAAACTGAATTCTCTCTGTAAGGCCAGAGTTGGAGCTACTTAAAAAGATGCATACAAATTGTTGCCTTAATTTTTTCAACAACAAGGATTGAACAAGGATTCTTTTTTAGAGTGTGTAATGTAAGCAATGTTTAGACAGATTTTGCTTTGCAAATATCAATACAGAAGTCAGATTGTGACTTTATGATTTTACAATTTTCAATACCCTGTAACTGTCACTTGTGGCTTCACTGGCTGTAATTTAGCAATTGTGACAGTGTTTTGCTTTAAGATTAAAGCTTTAAAAGAAGAATTTAAAGGGTGAGATGTCCTTTTATTAGCATGAACATGACTACTACTTTATTTTGAGTCAATTCAACAAACACTGGCCTGCTGCTTTAGTTACTACCAGGGCTGCAATTTAAAATTATTTTCATTGTCAGTTCATTTGTTGATTATTTTCTCGACTAATTAATTAGTTATTCAGTCTTAAAATTGTCAGAAAGCAGTGACAGTGTTTCCAAAGCCAAAGAGAATGTCTGCAAATGTCTTGTTTTGTCCACAGCTCAAAGGTACTCAGTTTATTGTCATAGACGAGTAAAGAAACCAGAAATTGTTTGCACCTCTGAAGCTGGAATCAGAGAATTTTTTTGCTTGAAAAATGATTTAAAAATTACTCAAATCGGTTAATCCATTACAGAATTAGTTGGCGATTAGTTTAATAGTTGAATTATAATCAATTTATCATTGCAGCTCTATTACTCGCCATCAGCAGGTTAGAATATTAGGGCTGTAACTGAATCAGAATTATGTCAGCTGAGTTGAATTTGGCTGTTCAATATGAATTATTTGACTATTTGTTCCTTTTCTTTTTCCATATAGAGTTTGCAAAGGGTTCAGTTGAGCGTTTAGGGTGGCAGTGATGTTCACATAAAATAGTAAAAAAGCCAAGTCAGCCCTCTGAACTAACTGCACGCTACCTACGCAAACGACAAGTCGGATTTTTGCAACAATATTTTTTGCCGACACCAGATATCAAACAAAAGCCACAGACTGTATCGTATGAAGTTGCTGTGAGCTGTAAATTCACCACGTCTACGAACAAGACATCTCAGAGTCTAGCCAGGCAAAGCTCTTGTCATACGGGCAGCTTCTGACTTTTACTCAGACTCCCCCAGGGTCTGGGTTCGCAGCCAATTGTACTGGACAGCAAATTTTTTTTACAACTCATTCAGGTAAAAATTTATTAAAACTTAAAGCTATGCATATTTAATGGTGGCGCCGCTTGAGTGACAGGCTCTCTTCGAGGCATTGCCACAGTCTATGAGTCAAATCAAAGCCTCACTCGTCCTTTGCTTCTCCCTTTTGTCTAAATACGATCACTTCTGGCTCCAAAACACAGCTGGAGACGGCAAAAAATGCTGACTATACTCAAGTCTATATTATCTTACACCCTTATCAAATACACAAATCACTCCTGTTTGAGAAACATTTGCTTAAAATGAAACTTCTACCACTTTATAGAACACATTTATTTAGGCTGCTTTTTTATACCGCTCAACAGATTCCTCTCATTCTCACTCAAGGACACTTTAATGTGTAGACAGGAGGAGCTGAGGATGTAACCGCGAACTCTGTGATTAGTGGTTGACCTGCTCCACCTCCTAAGCCACAGGGAAACATATATCCTTGACCTGTTTATAAAGACTTACATCCTCAAAAGGAACAACTGGGGTTGGTGCCGAGAGCCGCAGAAAGTACTGAGTGACGGACTGTGGATATGTTGGCAATAACAAAAATATAGAATATCACTGGCCTTATCCATTAAAAAAACAAAAAAATAAAACAAGCAGCTTTTAAATATTTCAACAAAGTGGTCAGCTCTCTCAGAGTGAGTCCCGTTGGAATCAGATATTGCTCACGAAAACAATTTGATTTATTCGTACAATAAGCTTGAAAATGTGAATTTGACCTGCTTTAATGGAATAACAAATATACAGAGCGAAAACGAGACAAAAAATAACCAAACTCAAGACTGACAGGATGTTTTTTATAGTCTCTGTTATAATGAGGTGTTACATTTCCAAGTAAAGCTCGTAAAACAAGCTTGTTGTCCGAAATAAATTGCAAACTAAATCAAAGCTGACAAAAGACAAGAAACAAACCCAGGCTGGAGCTGCTCTGCCAATAGGCAACCTTCAACTAAAGATACTAACTACAGATATTCTGGGAAAACACGACAGTTGCCAGTCAGAGCGATGAAATTAAAAGTATCCATCTCACAGGACGGCCGCAGAGATCACGCGATGCACTCCTCACACAGCCCCCAAGGTCTTTTCTCTGAGTGTGTCAGACTATCTTCATTCCCAGACAATGAGTGATAAGCTCGCTCTGAAACCTCACTTGAAAACACAAATCCTGCCTGACCGAGCCGAAGAGACAACTCTCTTCAGCCATATTCCTTCTTCCTTCTGGCGTGACGCCCAAACCCTTCCTTCGCTGACCCCTTTTATGTGCCTCCTCTTGTTCCCATTTACCCTCTACCGCCATAAAAAAAAATGTGCGATTCCTCAAAAATTTCCCCATTTTCCTGTCACACGTGGATCCACTCTGGTAACTCCGGCTTTCTATTGCTGGCCGACGAGCAGCCCTTCTGAAGAAAACATGTGCGAGTCCTGAAGAAGACGTTGTGCCTGTCAACAGCCTTTTAACAGCTGTGTGCGATGTCGACAGTGCCCATGGGCCAAGCAGTGTGTAAACCTTAAATTGCTCATTGTAATGAGATGTTCTGGGGGAAAGCAGTGGCTAAATGCCCGAGAAGTAAACACGGAGAACTAAACTCAACTCAAAGGTACTGGTTAGACTTTTGTTGACAGCAGTTTCGTTGAGTTGGTTAAAATTACGCTTGATCAAAATGATCCGACTTCCCCTCCAGGCTGCGAGCGCTTAGAAGCTGCACTGGGAGACTACACATCTGCTCCAACTGGCAGCAGATGAAATGTTAAAGGGTACGCCACTGATTTAACACATTAAGATCAGTTTACAGATCGTTACCCATTTTCTGCAACGGCTCATCTACATATTCCTCCACGATGTCTCAATTCTCCAAGGCTGTTTATTCTAAAAGCTGGTCAGAACAAGACTAACTCAAACAACTAACTTCCCCAGCTGAGGGTTTTCACTTTTCCTGCAGGAAAATGAGTACCGCGTGTGTCGGGAACGCAAAGCGACAAAGAAGAAACCACGAGATATATTGTTACACATGTGCGCAGGCCTGTGTTTGACAGTGTGTGTAAAATACACTATTTCTGTACACTCGTGAAAATATACATAATTCCACTCCCAAATCCCTGAGAGCTGTGTGTCTGAACATGTCAGATCCCCATCTAAACAACCGAGGTCTGAGTGTGTGTGTGTGTGTGTGTGTGTGTGTGTGTGAAATGAAGTGGGAAAAATGAGTATAATACTAATTAAGTTTATCCTCACTGGGAGTATCTTCTGCTCTGCTCTGTCGGAATATGATTCTTCAGACTAACACTGTCATCACAAAGACGGTTTTATTAGTCTGACAGATAACAGGAGTGTGTGTGAGATGTTGGCACTGGTGGAGCTGGAAGTTTGTGGATGGAGACCATTTCAAACAAAGGAAGAGAGAGAAGGTTTTGGTGACTAAGTTTGAGAGGTTAAATCCAGTCTTCGAATGACTTAACACAGCAGCTTCAATCTTAAAGGCATAGCATGCAGGATGGTCGGCTGCTGTTCGGAAACACTTTCAATTACTTCCATAAAAAATGACTAAAGTAAAAGTGCAAGTTACGAATTACAAGTACTTGTTTAACAAATTACTAAAAGTACATGTTATTTTCCATTTTATTAGAATAAAATGGGAAAAAAATAATCATGGCAGTAACAAAATATTAAGCCCCGCAGACCACAAGCTACAAGATAAGTTAATGTCATTAACATAACCCCAAAAACTAATGTTACATATGAACAATTAACATAGCTAACACTAGCTAACTACCTAAATCTCCACCTATGGTATGTGTAACTTACTTCAATGTAGGGCTGCAGCACTATACCACTTTCAAGGTATAACGTGATATAGAAGTTGACGGTCATCATGCCATGAACATTTGCTTATCTACGATACTGGAAAAGATGCAACTGGATGGAGAATCTTCCCTTTATTTTAGGGTGTTTTCAGCCTTCTAAGTGGAGTCAGAGCGGTGACTCAGCTTTTTTTTTTGTGCATATGTGAACACACCAAGAGAACTCAGACCACCTGTTCAGTTCACTTCAAGCCTGCAGTGCGATTCACTTAACCTGTGCCTTGTAAACACAAAGCACTCCAGGTTCGCTTTGCTCTTTGCCATTGTATTTAGCCCTCTAGATGACATGCTGTTGCACTGGGACGCCTAAAAAGACGGGACGAAACCACGTCGGCCTGTAACGCTTGCAAGGACGCAGGACGAGAAGTAGTTTGGTCCTCAGAGGATACTGCATGTCTCCAGATGTGGAATGCAGAATACATCAAACAGATTCAGTCTAGAGCACAGAAACACTAAGGTTTTCCTCCCATTTTAAGTTCATCTGAAAGTGAGGGGCTTCATAACCACATTGCAGTGCCACGTCAAAGTAAAAACAAAACTATGTCAATATACATATATATATTATACAGTGGTGGAAAAAAGTTTTCGGACACCCTTAAAATTTTACACAATCTCAATTATTATCATGAAATATTTGTGGAAAAATCTTTTTTGTGTTTGTGGCTGCATTAGACAGATACAAACAAATACAAATTATATTTTTTTGTTTATTGTTTACAAGAAAAACTAACAAAACTAAATTCTTGACAGTTTCAATATGTCAGTTCTCAACATTGTCGGTATCAAAGTCAACAAATAACAGAGAATGTGTTCAAAACTGAACAAAAAATAAATAAACCATCACATCATCAAATTAATATTTAGTAGTCCTGCCATTGGCACGTAGTAGAGCTCTAATCCTGGCTGGCATGTTCCCCACGAGCCTTTCACACTGTTGAGGGGTAATCTTGTCCCATTCTTCTTGAATTACTGCTTTTAATTCTTCTAAATTCTTTGGTTTATGCTTTGAAACAACCTTTTGATAATCCACCACAGATTTTCAATGGGGCTCATGTCTGGGGATTGAGCTGGCCACTCTAAGACCTGGATACTGTGCTCCTGCAGCAAAGTTCTACTGGCCTTGGATGTGTGGCAAGGGGCATTATCTTGTTGAAACATCCAGTTTTTACCTCGACGGAACAGTGCACGCACAAAAGGGAGCATGTGGGTTTCGAGAATGGTACAATACTTGGTAGAGTTCAATGTGCCATCACAGACAGTGAGATGACCAACACCAGCAGCACTCATGCATCCCCAAACCATGATACTGCCTCCACCATGCTTGACAGTAGGTACTGTACATGCTGGAGATAATGCTTCGCCTGGCCTTCTGCGTACCCTCACATTAGTAGGAGGAAGATAAAGCTGGAAACTGGACTCATCTGACCACAAAATCTTCTTCCAATTCCTGGCTGTCCAGTTCTTGTGTGCCTGGGCCCAACGACCCCGGGCTAACCTCTGTCTCTCATTGATCAGGGGCTTCTTGATAGCCTTGCAGGACCTTAGGCCACGTACAGTGCGGGTGGAACACTGGACACCAGTTTGGTTTGACCACTGCTGCTGAAGCTCCTGTGATGTCATTCGGCGGTTTTGCCTGCACATGCGGATCAGGATGCGGTCATTTCTTGCTGAAGAAACCCTTGGACACCCAGATCTTGGTTTGTCTTCCAAGCTGTTGGTTCGTCTGTATTTCTGCAGAGTGTATCCAACTGCTGAAGGACTGCATCTGCACTTCCTGGCTATCTGGCGGCAGCTGTACCCTTCCTGGCTGAGAATCTTTATCTTCAGGCGTGTTTCCTGCGTTAGGTTCCTTGTTTTAGCCATTTTTGTGTCTGAAGAGCTTTCAAATGTGCTGGCTTTATGTAGACACGAAGCTTGGCAACAAAAATTGTGTCTTTTAATAAAAAGAACGACCTTCATCACTGGTACCAAAATGACCCAATACTCAAAATTTTTTATGTATTTTTATGGAACCAATCAATTTTAAGTTTTTAATGGCTTTTTTAGGATTTATTTAGTATTTTGGCTGTGACTGTACTAAAAGAAATTGCACTTGAAGACCTAAGAGTGGTTCTCAATGCAATATTTCACAAATGCATGGGGTGTCCGAAAACTTTTTTCCACCACTGTATATAGTGTGAACAGAAAGAGAACTGAGTGCCTTTTCTGTTGGTCCACTTTTTGGTGCTCTTTTAGAGGGCCAAGTTATGTTTGTTTATATAGGACATTATGTGGACACACCCTTACTTATTTTCTAAGGGGCACTTTTCTGAGACGGTTATCGTACAGTGAAAATCTCATACAGTTGCAGCCCTATTTCAATATGCGTACGGAGGTAAGACAAAGTGTTTTTGTGTGTTTTCCAGGAGGCACTCGTTTTTAGGTTTTGGAATAAAAAGTGCAGCCAGATGCTGCTGATGAATTGTTGCTGGGAGTTGTCTCCTCTCTGCTCCGTCATCATCACATCATAGTCAAGAGACGAAAGAATGCTTCTTTTTCAACTTGCTCTGCAGTAAAGGTGCTCCCTTGTGTGCTCTCCCTCCCTACACTCAATACCAACATTTAGAGGAGACTTAAAGTAACGAAGGTATAAATGGGAAATGTCGCAAAGTAAAAAGTAGATTACTGGCTCAAGAATATACTCGAGTAAAGAGCAGACGTACAGTTTTTTACTCATGCCCCTTATTTGTGATGTGGTACAAACCACAAATAAGGGGCACAAATTGGTGTGTGCACCCATGAGCCACCAAAGCATCCTTTAAAAAAGAGTCACTACAGAAGTGTGACAGCGACATCCTCATAAAAACACCTCTCCTCCCTCTTTTACCATTTCCTTAACTTTTTCCTGCTTTAATAGATGTTCACAGCAGAAGAAGCAGAACATACACTTGTCCTCCGCTCAGGTTCCCAAACACTCCATAAATCACCACTTCCAAGCAGCAGGTTTCACTCTGACAGTAAAACTTTACGAGCTACATGAAATGCAAAAATATAAGATGTCAAATGTGCAAGCTTTGCTGCTCTATCTGTACCGTCTCCATGGCGTCAACATGGATGTTGTCTACTAATCAACAGATGTTACAGATGCCATAAAGGGGCCCTACAACCGCGCTCGGTTAAGGTCATGGAGATTTGGGTAAATACACCTGAAGAATTTTCCCCTCCCCTCCATTAACCGTGTGTCTTCCTCCCTAACTCCTGTGCCTCCTCGCTTCTCCTCTAATTCATGAGCTGACAGCGGAATGACCCGAGGCTCTCCTGCACATCCATCTGTCGCTGCTTCACGAGCACAATTTCCTGACGGTTTCTCACTTTAATGTCTACAGGCGTGGGTGAGTGGTCAGTTTATGTATTCGTCCATCTTTCCTCCCATCTATTAGTCCCCTCTTCCCTTCTTTTCTTGTAACACGACAGCAAAGAGGATTTTCTCCCCGGACAAAAATAAATCATAGGGGCGAAAAATGTGTATGTATATGTGTGTGTTTGTTCTCACCCGTTGTGTGTAACCAGACACTGACGGAGCCCCAGCTTCCTGAAAATATCCACAGTGATGTCCATAGGTGTGTGGTCGGTGACCGTGAAGGGGCTCAGGTCCATGATGCCTCTGAGGCGGAGGGGTGGTGGAGCTTCGGCAGCTTGAGCTGGAGCATGCTCAGTGAAGACCACCTGGGAAGCACTGACGATGCCCTCTTGACGTTTTCGGGCGTTGTCTGAAAGAAACGGTGGATAACATTTATGATATAAACTAAAAAAAAAAAAAAAACAAGGATGTCACAACATTGACAGTATTTTCTAAATTGAAGTTCTGCAGCAGGTTTTAGCAGGAAACGTTAAAACCTTGAGCAAACAGCATTTTTTAGCAGCTTGGGGAGGCTTTTTGTTTTCAGTGAAAGTGAAGCGTCTTGCATACTGCTTTTGTGTTGCTGAGCCACTCTTGATTTTCCTTTTAATGCACCTCATGTTTCGCAGGAGCAAACCAAATGCATTGAGCTGAAAAGACTCAGAGCGGAAAGCTGCCCGACGATGGTAATGACAAGTGGAAGCGTACACAGCTTGTATTAAGCTAATGTTAGCTTCCTTTCATCGTCGCTCTAGGCAAACTACTAAGATATATCTGTACATATAGTAGTCTTAACTACTTTCTAACATTTACCAACCATAACTGTGCCTGACGATTGATAGCAGATTGTCAAACCGTCCCAGACTCATCCTAAAATAAGCCCTGAACAGATTTCACAGAGGGGAAGCTAGTAGGGAAGACACAGACTCCATTTCCCTGCCAAGTGCCCTCCGCTTGTCCATTTTTTTAATGCAGGTATTAATATACAGATCTCTGAGTTTACCTCACAGCAATATAGCCGTGAAGCTGAGGACAAGTCATCGCACTCATTGGACCAAAGTAAGGCCTTTTAAAATCACATGCAGCACATATGTTTTAATTGTGTCTGTGATTTTCAATACTTTGTCAGAGGTAACTAGGACACTTATCAAGCCTTGTACCGTTACAGCTCTGTTTGGTTTCTCTCACTTACCTTTGTCTCGGCTCGTAGATGATTTGGTAGCTTTTGTAACATTACTGGCTAGGTTTCTAATATTTATGGGATGGGAAACACCAACATCACCTCCCCAACACTTTGTGGATGAAAGAGATTCTCAGTGATTTACAGCTTGAAAAAATACGATATACGTTGAAAGGCTCTTTCAGGAAATTTGAAAAGACGTGGGGGCTGTTCTTTGCGTATGTGGAGAAACTTAGCTTCCCAGCTATCTGTGAATAATATTCCACTTAATGTTATCTACTTTTTATCCATATCTTTATTCTTACCCTGACCTTAAAGGTGAGATTATTGCGCTCTGATGAATCGGGGCAGGCTACAACAAAAAAGACGGCGCAGTGCGATGTGTTGTGTTTCGCATTTTGCAAACTACAAAACATGCTCCGTCTAATTGTCATTTTAAGATTATACAGTGTAATGTGACATGTTTTAAGCCTTCAGCTGATGTTCATTCCTTTTGTGATGGACAGACGATTTACTTCGCTGTATACACACACACACAGTTCTGACCTATTGATATGAGCAGGTCTCTCCTGAGTACAAATCCAACCAGCCTCTGGGACTCCTGAGAGACGACCACAGGGAAGCCACTGTAGTGAGTGCTTTCCACCAAGGCCTGGGGACAAATAAAACATGTGATGTTACATGTAATATGATACGGCATCTACAAATCCTCAAATGCTTCCAAAGAGACCGAATTCCTTCGATTTTTTATTTTATTTTTGTTCTGACAGTTTGAAACACTTCTCACTTATTGCAGTGAATGCAGATGATACAGCTTAGGTTTCTCATCTTCACACATGTGCTTTCCATATTACCGTGCATTCCAGTGTGTTATGATCTACTGTGTGCATGTGTCCATACCTCCACCTCCTCTACAGTCATGCCCTCCTGTGTGAGCACTGCCAGCGCAGGGTCCGACCTACGTGGCCTCATCACATCTACGGCTAGGCTGCTGTGCTCAAACTCCTCTTTAGGCTCCAGGAACGGGTATCCGTTCAGCCTGATGTGAGCCTGCAGAACATCGATGAGAAAATATTGAACTTAAAACTGTGAACTCTTAAATCTAACACACATTACGGTGTCTTTGTATGTGTGTGAGTGTTTTAAGCTGGAAAGAAAACAGAAGGGATGGTTGTATTTAGAGTAAACACGCAATTTCACAGCCCATTTTCCAATTCCACATCAAACCCACATGGACACCTCACCTCGTAGATCCCCTCTCTGCCGAAAGCATCTGCCACCCATTTGCTGGTCATGGTCGCAGCCATGAGGGGGACGATGTACTCAAGACCTCCAGTCAGCTCGAACATGATGACTACCAGCGACACTGTCATACGAGTAACTCCACCTGGAGGGAGACAGGAGAGGGTAGAATGCATTAAAATGATCTCCAGCAAGGCATCTGCAGATTACTCAAAGTCATATCTGTTGAGTGAATCACTGTCGGACTCATCTGAACTGAGTAATCAGAAGAAATTACAAGTTAGAGAAAACTATTAAAGTTTGACATTTTGATTTTGATTGTTTTTTTTTATCTCAAAGTTTGAGCTCTTTATTTTCCCTCATCATGAAAATGTCAAAGTTTCTGTCAGTTGCTCCGCTCTGACTTCAATTACGACCATCTTGCTGGAGTTGCGGCTAAAAATCAAGGCAACACTTTTAACTTGGTGCCACCACCCCCTCCTCTGTGCCTCCTTCCTCTGAACTAGCTGAAGTCAACTTGATGTGACAGAGTTTCATCATGACTGCTGTATATCAATTTCTGAAGGATAAAAGAAAAACAAGCTCTCTTTTGTCGGTTGTTCGGTATTTAAAAAAATGGGAAAATGGAGATGATTATATGCAAAATTGTTCCCTGATGATGATTGTTGTGTCGTTAAGACAAAACACAATCACATGTTTTTTGCATGAGAATGAGGATTAATAAGAAGATACTGTGCCATGTCCTCAAACAGAGTTAACCGCTGTCTGTCGGCAAGGTAACGGGGTAAAAATATTCTAAATATAGTGTACATTTAAACCGATACTGATTTTTTCCTTAATATCCCTTTAAGGGCAAGAGTAATTTATTTATTTGTCTATTTCTATTCATTTTGAATTTGAGGACATACATGGCTTCTGGGTAAATTCTGCTGCGCTTCTATGGCCTTTCTGAGAACACATCTAAGGACATGACAAAAAGAGAGACAAATTGCAGTGTACTAAGGAGAATACAGTAAGATCATTGACTTTGAAGTCAGATGAGTTCGACTCATTGCTGGAAGTCATTCTTTGCCACTTTCATTTAATGCTACTTTCCAAGGGCCACTATAAAGTACAGAATGTGCTAAGAAAGAAACTTTGATCTGGGATAAAGATACTTTGTCTCAGATCTACTAGACGGATGAATGTGACCCTAAACACTGTGAGAAGTTGAAACCTTCTCCTCATGGTGAGAATTTAGTACCAATCTGTTTTATACAAAATGTTTCCTGAGTGTGTCAGCAGCTTTCTGTTTTCTGCACTTTGATAAAAACTTTAGGAACTCAGATCCAATGTAGAGCCCCTCCCTCAGTCCATCCATCATACACCACCTATCTGAGTCTGGGTTGCAGTGGGCATAAACAGAGTAGGGGAACCCAGAAGTCTTCCTCCCCACCCACATCCAGCTGCTCCCTAGGCATCCCAAGACATTCCCAAATCAGACTGAACATGTAATCTTAATCCCTCTGACATGTTTCCAGTTGTACATGCTCAGAATACCCCTATAGGACGGCTTGCATGAAGCACCCTGCTCAAATAAAATATACCTTGTGGTTCATTTTATCAGTTCCTAGATGCTTCAGGATCTTCATGTTTAAGATTACATTTTATTTATGACACAGCACCCATCTCAAACTAATCAAGCACTGACTGCTACGCATGTCTCACCTAAACAAGCAGCAGCTCCAACCATAGCATAGAGCCCCGGTGTGATGCAGTCTGCTCCTGGTGAGCACCACCCTTTAAAGATGATGGCGTCGTGGTTGTAGTAGGCCAGCTGCTCCATGCCGACACCCAGCAGTCTGCCGGCGATGGCTCCGACTGCCATGCTGGGGATGAAGAGACCGGAGGGAACCTGTGTGGACAAAAGGAGGGAGAATGGAGATGAAGTATGAGCTAGTGCTGCTTCGCAAATCTGTTCTTGTGACACTGGGTCGCTGTAAAATAGGACACAAAGTACTGAAGATTAGGAGGCATTACTTTCTTTTAAAACCTGAAGGTGCCAAGTTTTATGCTTTGGATTACTGTTTTTTACAGGACTAACTTTTTGGGAATCTCACAATTGTATTGAAAGTCTGATTTATTATCGATTCCCAATCAATTTTTTTGCATGAAAAAAGTAGGTCTACGCAGGTTTTATTATCTGAGTCTGAACGCAGTGTAGAAACAGTAGGAGAAATATCTGTGACTCAACCGTGTTCATCTAAAATGGATGAAATGAGATAATATTTGTACATGATTTGTTTTCTTATGGTTTTCTAAGTCGAAGAAAAATATACTTAGCCTGCCGGTGTGGAGCTGATGTGATTATAGCATAGGATTTGAACTTCTGCTCTGTTGGGAAGCAGTGGCTCTGTGCGTAGAGTGTCAAATACATGGCATTCTTGGAGTTTAATCCCAGGCTGCAAGCAGCACTGTGTCGTCTGTCTTTCTGAAATGAAGCCACACTTTGGACTGTTTCTTCCTCTCTGCCATGACTCCTTCTTTTTGCAGGTTTCCAACAGTGTAGATGCATGAGTTTGACGTCAGTGTTAACAATGCACAACTATGAGAAAAACACGCCAGCAGGGATCAAAGGATAGATAAGGATGGATAAACTTGAAAGAGAACAATTTCGATGGATGGGATGATTTGGAGCCTGTTCTCGTCTCCCATCCCTACACATGTAAGGACCTTTTATACTTTGGGTGACCTCTAGCTCACCTGGTAGAGTGTGCTCCCATATAGGCTCATTGCAGTGGCCCAGGTTTGATTCCAACTTGCAGTTATAAAAGGCAAAACTGCCCCAAAATAATCCTTAAATAAATAGGAGGGCTTAGAATAAAGTGCTGCTCATACAAAAGATAACTAGTCTTGACGAGGGTCACATCTTGGTAATAAAGATGCTGTTAGCGACGTCTATGCGCATTTCAGCCCATAAAAAGTGCACCATGACTCAGCTTAAATCCTCCGCAGCAAAAACACTCTCTTAATTGACATGTAAACCCAAAAGCCATTACCCTTTTTTCCCCCAATAACTTGATCCTTCCGCAAGCCACATGACAGTGACTAATGCTGCTGTGACTCAGCATATAAACCACGCAAGGAGAGCGTCCAGAGGTTCAATTACACTTCATGTGAACCGCTAAATGGCCTACATGAGCAATGTCAGTGAATGAAACCGGTTCGGAATCTGGATCCAGACGCACGGTATTAAAGACAGCTGTCCTTGTGGCATGTTCCCACACTATGCTACACAGAGTTCACAGAGGATAGTTCATCTATAAGGAACTAAAACAAGCATCGGCCAAAATCAATAACAGCGTTCTGAGGAGAACGGTGACATTTTAACAGGTGACATACGACACGTATTCAGAAGTATGTGCTTGTGGCTTCTGCTTCTGTCTGTGTTTGTGTCTGGACCAACCTTCATGCCAAAGGTAATCACAGTGATCATCATCTTGAAGATTAAGGCCAGAGCGAGCTGCCACAGAGCGGTGTATAGGCCTTCTCCTGCCGGCCGGTCGGCTAGGCTGTTGCCTACACCTGTTTCTGATGTGTTGGTTGGCTGGAGAGAGCGTGTAGGAGGAACAGTAGGAGATGAAGATAAACAGAGCGAAGATAGAAGAGATAAAAAAGCAGTATTTAAGGAATAGAAGGGAGCCAGACAGAGAAACCAAAAAGGGCAGAATACAGTTGCATTTACTTTGACTTACTCTTTCTCCAAACAAACAATCCACTACTTGCCCCACACACACATATTTGAACAAATCCACCTCTCACACACACACACACACAAACAAAGAGTGGATAGCTGACCTGCTGGTAGCCGCAGAGCTGAGACGAGTCGAGCAGCGAGCAGTCGTTAAACAGCTCCGAAATGAGCTCGGCTCCACTCATCCTGGTGTAGCTGTTTGGGTATGCGACCACAGCGGTCAAAGCTGCGACCACCAGCACCTCCATTACAGGGTAGTGACCCAGACGGGTGGATTTACCTTTTAGAGACACACATGATTAACAGGCGTGCTGAGGTTAGAAAGAAAAAGCTTTCATTCAAATAAATAAAACTGTGTGTGCATCTGTTTAGGACACACACACACATTCAGCATAACTTCACTCACGTCTCCTGCACCAGGCAATGTTGGCCCTGATGAACAGCGCCCCCCAGAGGCCTCCGAATATTCCCAGCAGGATGAATGGGGCCAGCTCCACCAGGTGCCACGGGGCATGAAACTCCACGTAGAACAGCACCAGACGGCTGTTTCCAAACGGGTTGATGGAGCGCAGAGTGAAGGCTGCTACCAGGGCGGCGAAGAAGGAACGCCACAGGGTTTTCAGAGGGAAGTAATAACTCACCTGAAGGAAAAAAAAGAGACAGAGGAAAGGAAAGGAGAGGGGTTTGAACTCACTGAAGGGATACTGACAGTCATAGAGATTCAGCATTAGTAAAGAAGAACCTGGTTTATTTTCTAATATTGCTATTATAAAAAGTCCAGAAAAAATTAAATGTGAGAATCTTGTGGAGCTGAACACTGAAAGCTTCTGCTGAGGTTTATTTGTCATATTTTCTGAGGTCAAAATATATCTAAGAAATCCAACTCAATTTGACTGAAGTGATTCATCAGAATAAATGAGTGTTAAAGCCAAATTACAGTTTGTGATTTGTGATTATATAAATGTGGTTTATGGTGCTGTTAGACCACCCTGTAAATACACATGTTTGTGCCTCCCTTGGTGTGCAGCAAGCGGGGGAGAAAACAGTTTCATAACCACACTGAACATGTTTTTGAAAGGCGACACGGCAACAAATGTGGATTACAACAAAATGTTTGGTCACATAAAAACGTGTTGTGAATTTGGGAAATGATTACGTCCATCGCCTTTCAATAAATGTTGACTTTTAGACTCGGGAGTTATTGGAAATGTTTGGATCGCACAAGTTAGAAACAATCCTACGCAGCCACTGCTGAAATCTTATTCAACAAATAATAATAATATTATTAGTGTAGCTTAATATTCATCTGCAATTGAACAAAGCTATTGTGCATCACTCACAAATAAATCAGCAAATTTTTCTGAGCTTTCAGATTCGGTGAGGTGCCGAAAGTGTCCTCAGAAAAAGGACCAATATCATCATCCAAAAACTCCCCGGGGTGTTTTGCTGACGTTGGATTATAGAGCTAATGAGACACATTTATTTTCCCAAACTATCAATGCACGGTTTATTATGCCCCGGCCATTGTGCTAGCACTGTGCTCAAGAAAAATTAAACAAAAAGTGGAAACCAATTCAGATTAGTTTTGTTATCTGGTGCTGATAAAATAACTTGGTCCTCGCAGTGCTGCTCTGATGTGGATACTTGCACGATTCACTATAATCAAATCCATTTTTGTCACATATTTGCGGCACACTGCAGGTCTCATGTTCATCAGATTATCCTGTGATGTCGTCTAAGTTTTCAGTATCAGTCTTCACAGGGATTACTTGACAAATGATGACTTAATCCGCAGGAAAGCAGTCAATAAATAATTGTAATCACCTCCTCCAGGCTGAACAGGACTCCTCCAATGGGAGCACCGAAGGCCACCGACACACCCACCGCTGCTGCTGCGGATAACACCTACACACGAGAAGAAAAACACACATCTGTATTGCACATTAAACAAAAGACAATAACACAGCAATCGATCAAACGCAGCACTGAGGTCTCCTTATCGTCGAATGAACAGATGTTCTTTGGTGCAGACGATTTACTAGAAAAAAGCTTAGTCACAATAGGCTGATCAAAACCAGTAGTTCCCATTGTTTCTGCGGTGAAGGCCAAATGCAGACACGCTGCACCACGTTGTGATATGAAGTAAAAACAATACAACAAAACACGAACTCCTTCTCTTTAGCTACTTTTTTTAGGGTTTCAGAAAATGCTCAAAGACTGTAACACTACAGCAGCTTGTTTGGTTTGATATATCATTTCACAACAAGTATTTTCCACCCAGCTGTCAGAGCTGACAGGTCCTGCTAAGGGAAGACACAAAACTTTTAACAGATAAATATCCCTATGAAGCTTCCTACTTTGTTGACATTTAAGAGTCAAAGGTCAGAGGAGCAAAGGTGGCTGCATGCACAGACACAGCAGCTTCTCCGGGTCCTGTTGTTCATATTACAAGTTTTCTGAATTTGAGGAAAATGAGGCATTATCTAAAATAACCATGGACTAGTTTGCAGACATTTTCTGATCACAAATCTGAGCACTGAATAAAGCCAGGTTTAAAATTCTAGTTTTTATTTTGTTGAGACCTTGGAGTCAAAGGTTTTTACAGAAAGTAATGTTGGATTTCTCTTTTTATCGCTCCATAAATCAGAAAATACTGTCAGCAGCCAAAACGAAAAAATCTATTGTCGTCTTTTTTTTTTTTTTTTTTAGGAATTAAATGTTACATAAATCAGGCCATGAAATATATATGAACAAACCCCTCTGTAAAAACCTTCAGAATATAGATATAGATAGATGAGGCATTACGTCATAAAGTATGCACTTTTTGCATATTTTTCCAGAACTAAATTCTAGACAAAAATAAACACCTACATCTTCGTAAAGAAGACATGTTATGAAAACAAAATCGCCCAGTAAATCTCACAGTAAATACTGTCCAGTAATACTAGTTCAATAATAATAATAATAATAATAATAATAATAATACATTTACGCTCCTCTTGTTTACAGAGTGGGTGTGCAGCAGACAAATACACTGATGCTGAGGTGGTCCCTTATCCTAATCTACACTGACACTATTATTATTATTTTAATGTTAACGCAAAAAAAGTGCATAGTGCTGTTAATTTTATTTTTGGTTTTCAATATTAAACTTAACACATAGAGACAGACAACCATTCACACTCACATTCACACCTACGGACAATTTAGAGTCACCAATTAACCTGCATGTCTTTGGACTGTGGGAGGAAGTCGGAGTACCTAGAGGAAAGGATTCGACTCAGGAACCCCGGGGAACTTTGAGACTTTTAGTCAAGAGGATAGCAGGTGAACTGGATGTAAATATGGAAAATAAAGTTTCCAATAATGACGGAATGATGAATTAACATTTACTGGGGTCTAAATGGAGTCATTTCAGTTACAGAACTTTCTTCGTCTTTCCAGAACTTTCAAGGAATTTAGAAATCATTACGAAATCACAGATCAGTAAAATAAAGCATTAGCCAGAATTTGTCTTTTTTGTCTGCCCTGAATGTTTAAATTTATTGCACTCTGTCCCAACATATGAGAGAATTTTAATGTCAGCTGCGATCAAATCTGAAGTCTGTCTCTATGTGTCAGCCCTGTGATAGTCTGGTGACCTGTCCAGGGTGTACCCCACCTCTTGCCCAATGTCAGCTGGGATGGGCTCCAGACCCCAACGCAACCCCTAACAGGATAGGCGGTAAGTAAATATAGAACTTGGTGAAATGATTTCATTGTGTGTCTCAGTACATTTCTAATCATATAACAATGCTGCCTTAATACTGATAACTGTGATAATTTTGGTCACTATAACCATGATATAAAATTTTCATATTCTGTTTCATCTGTACTCTGTTGTGCAAAAGTAAAAAACAAATTATCTTGGGACACTTTTTATATAGAGCAGATCTAGCACTATGTCCTTTAACTTAATTTAGAGAGGCCCCATAACTGGAAACCGTGGCGAGGAACCTCGAGCCTCGACTGCTTGGGTTAAGAGAGAGACAGACACATGGGAGACAGACAGACCGCAAGAGAGACTAAGAAAGAGAGAGTGGGGGAGAGTCCATTTTCCTGCTGAATCATCCAAGACTCGGACACTGAATCCTAAACAAGCAATAAAATCTCTCATTATTCACCTCACCCCAGCTGCCTAGAGCCTACCTCTCGCCGCTTGGCCTCATTCTTGCGGTACTTGGTGAACAGGTGGCACAGTATGTTTGCGCAGCAGCACGCCACGTGTACCAGAGGGCCCTCCTTCCCTAAGCTGAGCCCCGAGGAGACGGCTAAAACCAGGGTGATGGTCTTGATGATCAGGGTCCACTTCCCTAGGTAGCCACGGATGATGAACCCACTGAGGATGGTTTTAATCTGAGAGAGAGGGAGAGAGGGAAAACAAGAGTGTTTGCACGTGCATGGATTAGTTTGTGTGTGTGGAGACAATCAGGACATGTTTGTGATTGTGTGTGTGTTTATGTTAGAGAGGGATTGGTTTACATGCGTGTGTGAGTGTACAACCGAGAGAAAGTAAGAGCATAAACACTGATGTAAGGGAAGGAGAGAAAATGGAGTCTGAATTGTGGATATTTCTCTTTCAAATAAGCAGTTAATCTCATGTGCGTGGGCCTGCTGACCGCTGTCTGACCTTTCAGCAAAGAGAAAAATGAATCCACGTTCCATTAAATTAAGGATGGTCTTTGTCTGAGAGCTGCAGTGAAAGAGAGGTTTGGAGTTTATATGCAGGAAAGAGCTGTGTTTGTGTGTTTTGCTCTGTATACATGAAATGGGTGAATCAGTGTGGTTCTGTTTGTTCTCAGTTCAGTTTTCCATTTGTATTTCCAGAGTGTAAGCAAATCTTGAGCTTTTCACTTCCTTAGAGATAAAGAGCAAAAGAACAGAGACAGAGAGAAGGTAAACAGTGATGTCAGGGCAGCAGAGAGGATGTCTCGTGTCCGTTGAATATCATTGATCTTTTGTATTGTTTCAGTCTGGATGGAAATAAATCAACATGAATGGATACTGTGTGGAAAAACGAAGGGACTGTAGGCAAAACGAGGGGCAGACAAGTAGAAGGACTCATCTCATATGTTTAACATTACTGTCCAAACACTCCACTGAGTAAAACCCAAACATCTCCAAGCTGTTTATCCCTGCTGTGTGCGAGACTTAAATTCAAAGAAAGAATAAAACGTGCAGAGATAATTACATGTAACTATATGCGGCTAGAAATCCTGCTAATCCTGTTGGAATCCTGTCCATGATCAAACATGCATGACTTAAGCAAACAACGTCATTGATCAATACTTAAATATAACATACAGACAGGGCTGCTTTTTAAATACATTATAATTTTGAGTGCAGTTTTACCTCTGGTATTCCTGAGCCGCATGCGTACGGAGCAAAGGCCCTGACGAGTGTGACAGCCAGGAAGGCGAAAAGTAGAGCCCAGAAGATGTACATCAGGTAGTTCACTATGTAGGCAAATGCACCCTGGAAGGACACACAAAGACACACATGAAAAAAAGAAGACAAGTGATTTCTGAAACCCTTAATTTGGAAATTATATCTTAAAAAAAGAAAGATAAAAGCTGTGTTTTATTCATTTAGCACCTTGTGTCATGACAGCTTACAACCAGTAGATGGCATCAAACAACCATTATCACTACAGGCACCGTTGTCACATGGGAAATGTTTGTGTGCTTTTGTTATGACTGTACAAGTGAGACAGAGCATGACTGTACATGAAGTATTTCTAGCCTGTGAAAAGATCAACTGGCCCTCATGTTGTGTATAAGAAGAAACTCTCTTCAAGCACTGAAGACAATACTGAGACACAATAAAACAGCCTGTAGCTTTGGATTAATTTTGTACTTCATACACACAAACAAAGGCTTGACACAGCTTGGAGACTGTATGTACATTTCATGAATCTAAGAGTGCAGAAGAATGTTTTCAATCTTGAATTAAATTGGTTTTGTTTTGTTTCGTTATCTAACATTAGCCGTCTGGATAACCAGTACTACAAATCTGGTTATCAACCAGTTCAGTCAACTCTTGGTTTTCCGATCCAGCCACAAGCACATTCATGTCAAAGAGGCAGGGGTGTTAATTACGAGTGACATCATAAGAACCATGAATGAAGTAGGCTGTTTCATATCATAGGAGATGAAACGGGACTGAAAGTGTCTGCGGCTGCGAGACAGGAAAATGTCAGTGGTGTGGGATGTAAACGATACTCTGATCTTGTAACTAAAATACTATCCAAAAATTCACTATCAGCCGAGTCTTAAATTACGTGTACGTACCACTAGAATACTACCAATTCATGTTTTGCTGCATATACGGACAACTATCACTGAATTAGCTTGATATTAAAGAATTTCTTTAGTTCTTAAAGGTTTCCATTCCTTTTGTTTTGGATTCATAAATGAATAACAAAGAAAATGGATTCCCTCTTGAATATGACAAGAATTGATTCACAGATTATGTCCCTTCACCTCTGTTGTCCCCGTTATGAGCTCAGCCCAGCTCTGCCACTGTGGACACCTGTCCCTCTCCTGGAACGTCGTCTGGTTGGACTTCCAGCAGCAGTGCTCGTGGTTGAACCAGAAGCCGATGAGACAAACCCCTTCCTTCATGTCGGTCAGCCAGTGGGCTGCGATGTCGATGCCGCCAGCTACAGCGCCTGGGCGACAGAAGGACGAATTCAGGACAAAGACAATAATATTCAAGGTGAGCAAGTTTTATTTTATAGGTTAGTTCTGAGGTGTGCTATTGTGTATTGAGCAAACATCCATCATCAAATATCACATGTAGCCTTATGTTCTGTGTCTAGACTGAACTTTCTGGCTCACCGACATGATAAATATTAATCTCCTTTAGAAATATGTCACCCTGCTGCCTATTTTCAGAGCAATGTTGGAGCTATTTTGCTGCTTTCCACCTGCTACCTGTCACCACATGGGGATTAACTTTCAGCTGAAGCAGCACAGCAACACAAGGAAAAGTGTGAGCAGGTATACGTACGGCCATTTTGTGTTAAAGAAGCCGTGTGTGTAAACTCTATTCATAAAGATTACTGTCTTGACTGATAACTAAATACTCTGCTCTTTACTGTCAGTGCAGCTCACTGTGCATAATCTAGCTGTGCAGGGTTTTATTTCCTGCTGAAACGTGCCACCCCACTACAAGAGGTGAGAGGAACTTGGTTTGTGGTCTCTAAAGTATTCAAAAAATACCTTCAGAAAGACTCAACAGCAGAGTGTTTTACCAGAAACAATGCCCCAGTTTATCAGTTTAAACGCTGGGCTTTACTGTCAACTTGATTTAATGTCACATGCACTAAACAGAGTGAGTCCACACCACAGCTTTAGAGAACAGAGTGCTCTACCTGACATGAGTCCCACTAGAAGCATGAGCAACCACCCAGAGAAGGCATCGCTGACGCTGTGCAGCAGAGCCACAGTCGACTGTCGGCTCTTATTGGTGATCTGGATGGACACAGAAATGATAAGATCGATATTAGAATGCAATAATATTGTTTTTGTGGTGCTTCCAAGAAATACTTCATCCCCATATTAACAAAGTGCATATCAATTATACACCCCGTGTTACGATGAATTAGTGAAGCACACCTTCGTTAAATAAAAAAACCAAAAATGGAGATAGATGTTGATGAATTGAGGTCAAGGGCACTGTGTTTAACAACAGCAAAACTGTATCAAAACATACGCTCACAAACTCTCACATAACTCGTGCAGTATAATCCATTTCATATTTATTCAGTCTTAGGCTTAGTGCTGCCCAACAGGCAGCCCTTTCTGATGGGAATGGGACTAAAAGTGAAACTTAATCTATGCTCTCTTCAAAGCCAGACTCCACTGACAGAAACACCAATTTTACTTCACTTCACACAGGAGTTGCTGGTCTACTGCTGCCTTAAGCAGGATTTATACGTGCTCTATGCACGTCCCCTACGCATTGTGAGCATTTAGACTTGTGTGGTGGTGTGTCTGTGTCACTCTGCAGTTACACCTCCAAAACACTAGTTGGCAGTAGAGGTTTGTGTGAAGTGCTGTAAAGTTTAGTTGATTCAAAACACACATTAAACATGGCTTTCTAGAGACAATTTCAAGTACACAAATCAGCTTCACTATAACTCGCAGCATTCACAGACAAACACTTGTCTTTATCTGGACACATTTTCCCCACAAATACAACATGCTAATGTTATTAGCACAAGCCTATGGCATTATACATTGTATAAATTAGCCTCGTGGCTAGGGAACTTTTCCTCTACTCATATGAAGCCAGGGACAACAGCAACATTTAACAAAGGTAACGTCACAAAATTTGGCTCCATTACAACTCACAAGGTTCACTGACAAAACAACTGTCTTAAGGCCCAAACATACTTGGGCGGAACGTACGCGGAACGGACTCCGCGAGGAATGTCCGCAGTCATTCAGGCTTTCATAGTCGAGCGCACTTCCGCATTGTTTCCTGTAAAAATGTCCATGAAAAATCCCCGCGATGTAAAAAATGCATGCCGAGCAGTCACTGGTGCTTGGAGCGGAGAACGCGCGGTCGTAAAATCTGAGCTTTGTGCGCACAGGGCTTGCGGACGTCCGCTTTGAGCCCGCGCGGACCTCCGCGGAGTCTGTTCCGCATACATTCCGCCCGAGTATGTTCGGGCCTTTACACTAAACACGTTTTCCAAACCATTATAACATGCTAACATTATTAGCACAAGCCTATGGCATTTTACACTGTATAAATTAGCCTAGCGATGAGCGGAGATTTCCTCTGCTCATATGAAGCCAGGATAAATCACACACAAGACTTACAATGCTATTCTTGTCTGTGAAATTAAAGTAAATAAAAGCTTTGTTTCCACTGAGGGAAATTGCTGTTTTTGTCAATGGAGTCTGGCTTTGAAGAGAGCACAGGATAAGTTTCATGTTCAATTCAGTCCCCTTTGGAAAGAGCTGTCTGTTTGGGAAGTACTGAGCATACAACTGAATAAATGGAGGCTTGAATTATACTGCACAAGTTGTGTGAGAGTTTGTAAATGGATGTTTTCATATAGTTTTTCTTTTGTTAAACACAGACCCCTATGATTTTAATTCATCAAGAATGATCTCTCCAGAGGCATACAAGAAAAATTGTCTTGTTTACAAATTCAACGTAAGACGGGATGGGTAATTGATATAAAAATGGTTTATTTGGGGGGTTAAGTACTCTCTTAAAACTTGAATCTCTTGTTTAAACAAATGAACTATGTAGGAAACCATCACCACTTCAGCAGCTACTATCAGGAGCAAACTACATAACCTCAATTCTCCAGTTTCTATGCATGAATCTGTGGAGCTATAAATATAAACTCTAAGCAAAGCATGATGAGAAAGATGCTTTACATTGTGATACCCAGAGAGCATTATTTACATTATTACAGGTATGACAGTGAAGCAAACACTCCTTGGTACTGAATGACTATGATCTAGTTAAGGTTTTTACACTCTTTGCCTTCCTTTGAAACACATAGGGCTATCCCTCGTACCTCTCTGTGTCTGTCCCGGTCCTTGCTCTTTTCTCTGACCCAGTCGATGGTGTTGAAGTCTTCATAGGTGCCCAGTCCGGGGAGCGGGTCCTCCAGCAGGTCCACAAGTTTGTTGGGGCCGTTACCGTTCATACCGGCTGCTCTGCTGCTGCTGCTGCCGTGCTCCTCGTAAACTCCTGGGAGGGAGGGACGGGGAGCGAGAGGGAGAGAAAGGCATTCAAGATGCACATTAACATCCTCACACACACACAAACACCAGCCTCTTGCTTGCTACCACGTTCTTCTTGCCTTGTCATTTTAGGCATTTTTCTCCTATTGTCTTATGCCGTGTTGTGTTTTGGACAATTCACATTCTATTATTTATACATTTTGATTGTGACTTGGACGTTACTTGGGCTTTCTGTGGTCAGAGGAGGTCAGACGGTACATTCACAGAATGAATGCACAAAGACAAGCATGTGAACTCCTTCACACACACAGAGAGGCACAGAGCTCCAGCAGTGTTTCCCATACATACATTGTATTTGTTTTAATCTGCTGTAACACTGAGCCCAGTGCGAACTGATGTCAGTACATACACTCTAAGTAACATCTGCTATAATGTCTAGACTCTGCACAATCAAAGCCATGAGCAAAGCTGGAATTAAACCTCAAAATACAAAGGTTTTGGATGCAAGTAGCAACAACATACTACTCATTACACTTTACTTTGAGCTTAAGCTGTGGGGCTAAACATGCTAAGCTTGTGCTGAGGGTGGTGCAAGAGTTTTGAGTGTGAATTTCATCTCGTAATGTCATGGTTTTCAGATTTTTATAATACTTGTATGAATAATTTGACAACCCTTTTGTCTGACAAAGGTCTAGTTACTGAAACATACTGAAACTGTGTCCTACTCGTCCTTTTCCAATGCACCTGTTTTGAAATAAGCATGCGAGGCGTTCATCAAAAACATGAATTCTCTCGGATTCGTAAATTTATTGATTGGTGCAAGATGTAAGATCATACAAGGCTCCAAAATGCTAGCAAAAGCATCCTCTGGAGACTCTAAATTAGCAGCAGTCAAGATATCTTGCTCTGTGGCAGCCTCTAGCTCAGCCAGTAGAGTGTCCGCCTTTTGCAGTAGCCCAAGTTTGATTTCAACCTACGGCCCTTTGCTGTGTGTCATCCCCATTCTCCCTACCCCTTCTCCTGTCACTCTCCAGCTGCACTGTACTTAAGGCAACAAAAGCCCGGAAAATAATCTTTAAAAAAGATATCTTGCTCTGTCTCAAACAAAGTGTTAGACGAAGTCATGGACCGACTGACTTCATCAACTTCAGGCCCTGCTGAGAGTGTACCCTTAAAAAGAATACCAAGCTAGCCTACAAAACACAAGAAAACAATCACTAAATAATGGCCTGAAGTTGATCTTTCAACATCTATATAATAAGTATATTTTACAGAATTAATCTCTTTAACAGAACAGGCGCTGCCCTCCAAAGATGGATGTCAGCTGCAGTAGCAATCTGGATGCGCTCACCCTGAAGATGCCCGTCTTGAAACGGATTTGCACACACACACACACACACACACACACACACACACACATTTACAACCCTTGAGAAAGTGCTCACAGTAGCAAATCCACTATTATTGCTGACTATTGTTACTAAGCAAAGAAAATAAGGAGCACACAACACAAAGGAGCTACACAAAATGTGCATTGTAGCCTAATGTCATAATACTGATAACACTATTCCTGACAATACTGTATTAACGAGTGTTTGAGGCAAAGACACACAAAGCCGTGTTGTGAGATCGACTTCGGCTGCATTTGGCTCGCGACAAAAGAGCTTTGAATATGTGGCAGCGTCCCGGCTACAGACAGCAACAATTAGCAGACAGCAGTAACCAATCAAAACCAGCTCCCCGACGGAAACAGGAAACATCAGGGGAAGTTCTGATTTATGTTGTGTGTAAGCAACCAGCGACCCGAGCTGAAACGAGTCATTACGGGACAGAGACAATGGTCTGGGCCAAAATGAAAATGTGTTTTCATTTGAGTATTAATAGAAGACATAATAGAAAATGTATGATGATGGAGGTGGTGCTTCCTGTCTGTGAGTTCAATAAGTTTGATATGAGAAAAGACGCTAATACTTAGAGAAGAAACTGATGGAAATCTACTTCCAAACGTACAGTAAACGCCGGACAAAAAAGTGTGTCAGTAAGTGTGTGTAGCGATCAGTTTAGTAATATTTCATCTCATATTTCGGACAGAAAACGAACCATGACATAAGACTAAACTCTTAATCTACACACCATCTTTGCTTGACATACACTAGCAACATCTCTAACATGAGACTGGAGGAGGGGAACATTTGCATCCATTAAAACAAAAGGAGCTTTTATACACCTGAGCTGACGAGTTAGACTGGTTTTAAACTAAGAATGAAAAAAATGCACTTGCTATACATATCTCTCTCTGTCACTGAGGCACCGACAAGCTTGACTACCTGTCGCATAGCATCTACTCTTCCCTTACAAAACTCTATCTCAGCTTACACAACACATCACCATCTACAAGGTTACACAGCAGGAGTCACCTGACAGTAATGCAACCTAAAATGTAACTAGACCCAGGCAGAGGGAAGACAGCTTTAATAACAATCAGGTTTGCTTTTGCTTCCCTTTAGTTTAATTTGTTTTGTCACTTAGCTTGTGCTAACAATTTGTTGTACTGCTGGCAGATTAAAACAGTTCCTCACTTTCCCCTCTTAAATCAATTAGCATTTGCTGTGAAATGCGTGCTCGGCTCAGCATGGAGGCCCCTCGTGACCCCGTGCAGGACTGGATGAACTGAACAGATGAATCGCCGGAAAAAAGTTTGGCTTGTTCAGGCTGCTATCGGCCGGGTCCTGCGCAGCACATGGCCGTGAAAGCGTTGTCTGAGAACCTTTAAAATGTTGTGAAGATGCAAAAGGCTTCAGTCTCTTATTATTCTGCGCTAAGAGGCTTTCGAAAACCATGACTATGACAGATGGCAGCCAGAGCTGGATATAATTATGCCTCCCAGCCAGAGAGACAGAAGAAATCAGAAAACAGCCCATTCAGGGTGTCTACAGTTATTAGACACTTCAATTTAATGCTTTTAGGGCCTTTTAAGATCATTTTAAACCACATTAAGGACTGATTTTTTGACATAGCATCTTTATCTTATTCAAGATTACAGGCAAGTGTAAAGGTAGAGGTAGGTTTTATGTAGAAATATGGTTATAGCAAGTTAGATTTATTGAGATTTTGCTATCAGGTAAATGCAAGTATAAAGTAAAGAGATAGTATTAGGTTCCGTGGTAGGGTTAAAGATTGGTAACATCAGAAATGTGGACTTTCACACTGAAGAACTTAAAAAAAATAAATTAAAAGCTCAATAAATGAAACTAGATAAAGTGTGTGTGGCAATTAACACCTCAAAAATGCAAATTTAAAACTGTTTAATGACTTTTAAGACCTCATATTTATAAAATTAAATCTGAGCAGGGTTGGAAATTAGCATCAGCCACCGTCAAAATGCTGGTAAAATATGCAAGTGGCTGCTAGATTTGCTTTATTTACCAGCCAAAAAGCAATGGTAATCTACTGAGTGGCTGGTAGATATTAAAAATCCACAAAAAAGGACAAAAAAGTTCAATTCCAATCCTGAACAGGAGACGTTAAAGACTTTTTAAGGACCTGCAGACACCCTCTCAACTGTCTTCCACTTTAGCTCTATAGTAAAGGTAAGTCATCTTTATCATGACATAGTAAATTCTCTTGAAACTCAATTGAAAAGTTGCTTATGGATAAAATAACTCTTAAAAATCCTCCACTGTAGAAATATATATAGTCTGACCCATAGCCCAATATCACCAGCCTTTGTCTGGCTACTGTTGTTCAAACAGAGGAAATAAGGCATACAATTGCTTAGGATTAAAGTTTACTACAACCATTCGTCTTACCAAAGTCACTGCTGTCTTACAAGTCCTTGTTTGCCCTTTTCTATTTTAAGTGGATTTGCCAAAAACACACAACTGTGACAGACCTTTGCACCTTACTCATGATAGCTGAAACACAGTCAGTACAGCCCAGAGAGAATGCAACCACACAACCACAACACACTGAAATAAAATAACATGAACACAGGAGCTTATCATTTTCAAACATTCACAAAGGGACAAAGATAAGCAGGAGCTAAAATGTACGACCTAATATACAAAGTGAAAGAACACTAAAGCCATCAGAAAAATACAAATATTCCCTGCTCTACTTAATTAAAGTGGATTTAAAAGCAAAAGACCACAAACGAAACCAAGCAGTAAGGATCTGAGTCTGACCTCAGCTGTCATGAACGAATAAAAGAGCACACAACGGCCTCTGTGACCCCAACTGCCATGAGGTAGAAAATGCACTGCCACACACACAGATAAGAGTGTTTAGAGTTCATCATGTATCTGTTGCTGTGGACCTCTGTGTCAAACACACTGACATACACAGCTGTACACACACACACACACACACACACACACACACACACATCAAGCACCAAAAAAAAGGTTTGTTTCTCTCATGCAGGCTGCAGTACAGAAACATTAACCACGTGAGTCAGTGCCTGATGGGTCGTAAATAGTCTCAGTGATTAAACTCCGCTGTGTTAGAGTTAAAGGTATCAGCAGAAACAACTGTAGCACAATTTAAAAGTAGACACAGGAGGCACATGTAGAGGAAGCTGCTGTGAAGGAGTTGGAAGAAAATTCAAATACGACTTGTTATTCCAGCACGGCCTGTGTCAGCAGTCTACCAGCTGACGAAAGCCTCTCTTCTAATCCTAACTGCATTTAATAGTCACTCTGAATGAGAGCAGAGTGCAGACCTTATCAGACAGCAAAAAGAAAAATCAAAGCCACAAACAAAGCTCACCATTTTCAACCAAGACTTCCTCATCCAGCCGCTTACTCCAGAACTCCCAGTGCATCTCTCCTTCTCTGGCCCCAAACACAACAAGTATCCACAGTCAGTGTCAAAACTCAAACTGGAAACCTCATCCCTCCTCTGAACTCCTCTAGGAAGTGGACTCCAACAGAGCAAACCCCATTGGCTGGAAAGCAGTGGGAATGAGTAATCATTGGGTAATCTGTCTGGGAAGTGGATGATGATTTG